TGCAACTCTCTCGTCGGCTGTTGTGACAACGATTTGAATTTTGGTGTTTCGAGAGCAAAAAATCATCTCTATGTAATTCCACTGATGAAAACTTCGTTCGTTGAACATGACCAGTTTGGAAATGTGACTTTCGATATCTCACCACTCTTTCTTGGAATCTTTGAATAAGTGAACCAATTCATCTTTCTATTAAAACCGAATAGTGCCATATTCGAGGCATGCATCACGCATCATCCCTCATTACTGATGGCTTTCAACTATTCAAAAATTATTTCGCTTTTTTTCCAGCTATAGTCTTTTTCAATGAGCGCAAATGAATGGAACGCAACGAGTGCGCCATAGACAGTCAAGCACAATGGAATGAAGCAGTTGAATGAAAAGGCAATTGTCCACATTAAAGGAGCAAACAATTGACTGAATAACGATCATGTAACTTTTGAAATCCGAACGCATTTTCGGATATTTGTTAATCGCAGTTTCAACGCGAAAATGCCCTATGATCGTGATATTCCTTGCTATTTCCAATCAAGAACCGTCCAATTTTTCACATGTCATACAGTATGTCAGAACATCGCCATTTCACGTTCAGTTCGCCGTTTGAATAAAGCATTTTCAGGTGTTTTGAATTTCTTTCAGTGATGTTTGAAAAGTGCATTTTGGACAATCTGGATGATTTGAATGAGAAATGGATCGAAAAGCGGTTGTTGGACGGGTGTAACTGCACAATAATACGAGACATAAATCTGTTGATGACACTGCATTGTGAATCGTTCCCATTTGAGCACGGAGTTGCAGTTCAAGTTTTTTATTTCTTCATATTCACCGCTATTATCGTGCTCGCTTTATGCGGCAATTTCACTGTGTTATGGTAAGAGTTTGTTGTTGCGCTCGACGCTGTTCTGTCCACAAACGATTTTTAAACACACATTGTGCATAAATGCTTCATGAACGTTGATTTGCATTTGCTCGATTTGCATCTGCACTATTCGTTCAGTGCAAGGTTTTGTTACTGGATTCCAATCATTAGGGACAGAACTGTTAATTTTGCTCTCAATTTCGAGAATTTTCGTAAAACACTTCTTTAATTCAATCCCAAATTGGTTCTCATGCACACATGAGCTTGATTGCACATTTTGGATGTGTTATATAGTTCGAAACATCTCAGCAAAGTGCACATTTGAAACCTTTATGAANGTTTATGACTTCAGTTTATAAAAATATCAGGATTGTGTTGTGTCATGAACGAATGCGCACAGTGACGAATTATTATCTGCTGAATTTGGCCATATCGGATGCTACCATATCCATATTCAATACGGGCTTTTCATGGTCCTACAATTTTTACTATGTATGGAAATTCGGTTCAACTTACTGTGCAATTAGTAACATGATGGGTATTGCACCGATATGTTCGAGCGTTTTCACGATGATTGTTATGAGCATTGATAGGTGAGTGGCGACAGTTTTCAGCTAGTTTCATTCGTGTTCGCCTTTTGTTCTAAGTACGTATCAGCAAATCCTGATCATTTTTCGATCACGCGATCGATTTACAATCAAAGCATGATCGCCGGATTAAAAAACGACCACAGACGGAATACAAAGCAACGGTAATAACGGAAAATGAGGCGAGAACGACGTCTCACGAAATTTTCGCTTATTGATGTCTGAAAATGAAAGCTGAACTTATGTGATGATTTGTACATTTATTGCTGCCGTCTGAATGGTAGACGAGAAATACTGCTGGGTATGAATTAAGTGGGGACGATTGACGGGTAATTCAGGATGATTATTTTACCATAATTGTTTAAAATGCTTTTTTTCTGAACTCCTGGAAATCCGGGATTTTTCAGAACATGAATCCCGGGATTGGATTCAAAAATCGGGATCCCGGTTCCCGTTTAAAATTCACGATTCCCATGCAACACTTCAACAATTTTTCC